GATATAAGAAGTTCATCCGAGTGAGCTTCCAATTGCCTGACTTTAGCTTCTGCAGTCTAATTAATGGGACTCAAATAGTTAACAGAAAGGAGAGGCATTGATAAAGCCTGTGGGAGACCAACCTTGCACATGACTGAGTCACATTCCTGGCTGGGTGCTGAGGTGTCAGGCAGCATTTTGCTAGACTTTCCCCACCCTTCTTGGGTTCCAGGGGCAGTGTTTGTGCATGGGTGTCTCTTGCTACAGCCCCATGGGTGGAGCTATGCTCACCTGTTCCTTTGTGATATCACCCCTTGCCCTGTCTGGGATAGAATGTTCCATGGAAACACCTTTTGTGTGTCCCCTTCTCTTACCGTGCCCTTGGGTGTGGCCTACCTAGATGTCAGTCAACCTGCTGACAATGGACATCATGAAGATAGACTCAGCCTCCTGAAACCTGACCCCTTGCCTCATTTGAATAGCTTCTCCTCAATAAAAGGGGTCAGCGAGTGCTCACTCACTCTCCCTGCGGACCCTTAAGGTCAGAGGAGCCGTCACAGCGACCCCAAAGAAAAAGGTATTTCTGTCTCTTGTGTGGTTATTTCGCACAGCCCAATTAGACCAGTTCCCCTGGAGTGACTCCTAAGTGTTTTAGTCTCCAACAGAAACCTGGCAATTGGCGCCCAATGTGGGGACAAAAGGTCTGAGTCTTTAAGCCTCTGGGACAAAAGCGACAAAAGCCTCCTTCCTTCACTATACCTCCAATTCAAGTTTCCTCCTGCTCCGTGACTTAAATTAAGAACCACAGGCCAATAGCGCTTTTCTCAACTGATGCTCCTTGCCTGGGTATTCCTTTCTCTTGCAACCACAGGCTCCAGAACCAGAATGTCAGGAAAGCCTTCTCCACTCCGTTAACTGCCCATATTCTACAGATTCTGACTTCAGGGGACTCTTTCTAAGAATGACCTCATTAGCATAATTAAAGGGTACCTGAGCTGTTAGAGATAGAAACTAACACCTTGTGATGTGAAAAATACATCACACACCATCACACATATTAACTTGATTAAATTAATGCCATTTTAGCACATAATTAGTTCTTTATTATTAAAATCAGACATCATGGGCAAGTAAGTTCCACAGTTTGTGGAAAATCTGAATATATCAAGTAATTAGGTTCAATAAGAAAAGTTCACATGCCTGCAGGCCCAGATTCTTTTAAAATGCTGAATTTTGTTATCAATGAACAAAAATTTAAACTACAATCTGGCATTCAACTTAATTCCTTTACTAGTATTGTTCACCCACTCTAATCATGACCTAATCCTATTGGAAGGATCAAGTTTTTCTAGAAAGTGAAAATTCCCAGTCTAGTTAAAAAAAGAAAATTCAAGCAATCTGAATCAATTTTGCCACATAGTCTGGAGAATCAGTCTGTTTAGTGAGTGATGCATGAAAACAATTAAAGATGCCATTAAAATACAACTTGGTAACCAGGCATTACCTATTTAATTGGTATAATATATATACAGAGTAATCTTAAAAAGCTTCATTTTATACAGAAACATTTACAAAATGAACAGTGTAATTAAATTAAAGATTATCTATACAATGCACACACATATGTCTTCTGGAAGATAAAGGATTTTCATCATCACAGTCAAAATGGACAGCCATATGCATTTAAAAAAAGAATTCCATTTCAGAAGAAAAATACATTTTTAATATTCAATTATATTTTTGTTTTTCTGAAAATTCATGTTTGGATACTTTTTTCAATTGTTTCTCTTGTTCAGCCTTGAAAAATTTCAGGTTTCTAGTGCCACCAACTGGTGTTAGTTTAAAATTAATAATCTCAGTGTTAAAAAATAACATTTTGTTTAAAAAAAAATCTTAACTGAAAAATAGGTTCCTAGAGTCAAAATTCATGAAATATGAATGACAACATGATTTATAAAAATATTTTCACCAGGGTAGCATATATAACATTTATAAAATTAATGGTTGCTAATTGTCTTATTTCCCCGCCCTCTTCTTCTTTCACTGGTAGGTAAATCTTGGTCTAAGTTTGTATGTAGAAAGTGAAAAAAAATCCTTAGAAAAAAATAGTATACCACAAAACAAAGCTTGGAAAAATGCGTGACAACAATTAGATTCATCTTTATGAACATCAAATAGGCATTAATAATTTAGTACAATCGTAAAAACCTAATGTCATTTTATGGTGCTCAGATTTTTTTCCTTTTTCTTAGAGACTAATTAAACATTAAACTGTGACAAAAGTCAGGAAATGTGTAGAACCACCATGAAAACAGCAATTTGCTCTCAGTATACCTTTGCAAGGATTCAGTTTTCCAAGTTTCATGGCAAAGTGAAATTTCTCAGCCACCTTCACGCCCAAGTAAAGTAAGCCTCTTCTCAGCCAAGTAGGGCTGGCATAAGCTAAGAGGCCCAAAGGCCAGTTCCTACTGCCTCCCAGCTATTTTTTTTTAGACCATAAGTTCTCTATAAGGATGTTTAATTGCAACATAATACCTATAAGGTAGGTTTACAATGTGTTTATTAAGTGAATAAATAACATGTTTGTAACCTGAATCACTTTAAATGATAATTAAAAACAAAACCAAAAAACACAAAAACCACCAAAGTTGAAATTAATTCTTCTGTCCAATTTTTGATCCTTATAACAGATTAAAGTGTATATGGGATGAGAGAATGGGAGTCACAGCAAGTATTCACTTTCAAATCAAAACCTATGAGGTGTACCTACACACACTAAAAATTTCCTGCTCAAAGATACCAAAATATTGCTAACCTAAAGAGCTATTGATGTGTACAATATCAAACATAAAACAAATTCCCTGTAGGTCTCAGGTTTATTATTCTCCAGACACCCCATTCTTCTCTTTCTCTATTCAATATAGTAAACTGGTGGAAGGCCCTCCAAATCCTTACATTAGGAGCTGTTCGAAAATCAGGACAGAAATGGGTATCGCTAATACATGCATATTTTTATACAGTACTTTGCTCATTCCTGATCCATGTATAAAAGGAAGCAGTAGATACTGAAGAACAAAAAGAAAACAAATTATTTCCTTCAAAAATTTTCCATAGTTTCTTAAGTTTATCAGGAAAAATGGCAACAATACCGTCAAAATATGGCTTTTAATAATTTTCCTCTAAAATGGTGGCACAAATATTAATACTGAATGCTTCATTTTTGTCTAATGTATGTATGTGTATATATATATTTGAAATATGGTAACTATATCAAATATATATGTATATATATTTGAAAGTGTATAGGCATAGAATACGATGAATCTGATCACTATTTGGCCTCCATTATACATTTTGTACCCTAGAGGGAAAAAACTTTAATCTTATAGTTTATGAATCTATAGCACATGAGAAACCAGGAAAAAATTAGATATGTTGCCTATTGTAAGTAGACTTTTGGAGTGTCAACCATATGTCTAGAAACAAATGGGAAAATAATTGATTTTATTGCACTTACCCTCTTTTTTTTTAATTTGATAAATTATTATTGATAAAAAGCAAGACACATTAAAACTAATACTTTTTATAACTATTTTAAAAATAAAACATCTTTAAATGTGCATTTTCATTCTGAAATAAAAAGGATATTTGCTTTTGGATGACAATGTATAACTTGACATGCACAAAAATTAAGACACTACAATAAATGACCTGATCTTTACTAAATTACCTTTTAAATAATGTTAAGTTGATTTAAAAAAAAAGTTAAAACCCATTAAAAGGACATTGCCACAAGTCCAACTTCAAAAGCCCATACAGTTCTTTGAAGGCTTTTAATCTGTCACCCCCAAGGCTCACTTTCTTTTTGGTGCACAGGGATGGGGGTGGGTGGAGTAGGAAGGATGCCAAAATCTAAAACAAAAATGAGGTTTGTGGTAACAAACCTGCAGATGAGCTAAGGTGTCCTATTATACAAAGAATCCAAACATAATGCAAAGTCAAAGAAATTATAATAGGTGAGAAATAAAAGGAGGTAAGAAAAAATCTGATGACAAATATTGATATGACTACAACATTTAAATCTACATCTAAAATAAATATTGTAAAAATCCAACAAAATATCAAAAAATATCTAAAAATCCAACAAAATACAATAATTTGGCTTAAAAATTCCTTTGGTTTTTAGATATATAATTATTTTGTGTTTTAAATAAATATACTAAAACATCACATTTGGGGGAACTTCATGATCACTCCAATTTGATATATATTTAATTGTTTCAGTAGTGAAGAATGGTGCTCAAATGGTTAACAAAGCCATATGCTGCTTTCTCTTGGGAAACTGGTTCTTAGTAAGTACCTTAAAATACTAGTACATTTTATCTTTATACAATGTTAGTAAAATTAAAGTATTTCCATGTCTAAGAATTATTCATTTCGCTGTTCTAATGATTGGATCCACTTCACATTTTAAAATATAACTGAAGTCCACAGAAAATTTTTTCAATAAACATGTTATTCTAAACCGTATTTAAAGTAACTAAAGATTTTAAGAATTCAACTATTAATCCAAATATGAAAAAAAATGGACCTACGATAGACAACGAAACCTGACAGAGACATTCAATGTCCAACTATTGCCATTTACCAACAGCTGGCTTTTCTATTAAGTTCAGTTTTCATTAAAACAAAAATTTAAGTACTCAAATGCATCCTTAAAAGACAACCAAATATTATACTGGAGTGTCAAAACATTTTTTTAAAATGTATTTTGAGATGGGGTTTTGCTATGTTGCACAGATTGGCCTCAAACTCCTGGTTTCAAGTGGTCCTCCCCCTGGCCTCCTGAGTAGCTGGGACTATAGGTACACACCACTGTGTCTAGCTTGAAACAAATATTTTTATGATGTCCTTACTTTTCTTGGTGTTGTGGAAATTGTAAATCAATGAATGAGTAACACTTCTTTGTCTTTTCATGAATCATTTTTAAAGATGAATAATTTTTGACATATTTTAAAGGGAAAAAATATGGAGAAGGGTTTTTTTTTTTTTTTAAAGCCCTTTTAGTAATGTTCAGCACTTAAGACTATGAGCAAATTAAGTTGTTCAGACTCAATGATAGGCTGTTGTATTGCACCATATAAAACAAATTTCATCAAAGCCTACACTCTTACAGTATGCACAGCAATGCATCCATTTTTAAAAGGACACTTTTTTTATACAGATGAAGCAAAACAAATTTTGACTGGCTTATACACAAAGTAGGGAAAAGTTTCCAACAACACTGGTCAGTGGCACCTGCTCCTGGGTGGCTTTTATCTGTTTACTGGGCAAGAACTTTGTATTAGGTTTTCTTTGTCCTCTGCTCTAGTTCATGCTGGTGTTTAATAAGACGTTCTATTTCTGTTCCAAGTGTTTGTAGATTTTCCTTTAATAGTTAGGGGAAAAGAGAGAAAACAAAACTACTAAGTATAATAAATAAAAAGATTCAATTTGAACTATTTTTGCCTAAATTTTGAAACTGAAGGAGTGGTGATTAGTCCAAAAATGCTAAGTGAATTAGTGAATTGAATTAGATACACAGATGTTTTTAGTAAAGTAGACCTGTCCTTTTCAAAGTTATGATATTGGGGATTAAACCCAGGGCCTTGCACATGCTAGGCAAGTGCTCTATCCCTGAGCTACATCCCCTAGCCCACTTTTCTAAAATTTTATTTTGAGACAGAGTATCATTAAGTTGCCCAGGCTGGCCTTGAACTTATGACACCCTCCTCTCTCAACTTCCCAAGGAGCTGGAATTATAGGTGGTTTCATTATACTCAGCTCATATTTAACCTTTTTATCATAGCTATAGCAATTCAATACATAAAATGATTAATTATTAGATTTAAAAATTATTTTTAAAACCCATTACTAACTATCAAGGCCCATGTTCAACAAATAGATAATAGCTGCAGAAAATAAAAGAAAGCTGGAAAATATATTAGAAACTCCATAGTCTTAAAAAGTGTTTCAATAATGACCTGTAATAGCAATGTATATCAAAGGTCATCCATTGCAAAATATATAATTCATCCTACTATCCAATAACTAAACTGACTTAGTTTGAAAATTATACTTTCAAAATAGAAAAACATTAAATTTTTATCTCTTGAGTAATAGAAACCTATCAGAATTAGCCCGTCTAAGTGCCAGATGAGACTAAGAAAGAGGCACCATTTTACTTATTGGTAAGTGAATGAGAAACACAAATACCTTCAAAGTAATATTTTTTAGTAATGTATCCTCCAAAACAGCCTGCAATTTTCGGTTGATTTCCAAAGACAGTTCCAGTGTTAATCCACTATCAGCAGGATGAGATGTATATAAAGATGCCATGATGCCACCTCGTCTACTTAAATGGACTTTGTTAAAATCAGAAGCCTCTGAAGAAAGTGTGCCTGATTCTTCTCGTAAAATGTAACTCTGAATTATTCTGCAAAACAAAATGACACTATCAATTGTGTACCTGAAGAATTAAAAATACTGGAATTTGTAAGAATCAGCTAAGCAGAAGCATAAAGAGGCCTAGCATAAAATAAATACCTATTAAACTAATAACCTAATACATTAGAAAAGAATTTTCCTTATTCAGATGGTTTCTTCAGCTATTTTACTTTTATTCTATCATGATTAATGATATATACACTGCTTTTTAAATTCCTTTCCTTATTTACATAAAATATTTAAGCAACTATTTTATTGCTCTGATTTCTATTAATATTGTTTTCCTATTTTTAAACTTTTTTTAAAAAGTAATAGGCAAACTTTTAGTAACATATTTAAAATTAAAATTAAAATGGCTTAGGAAAAGACCTGCAATATAAGAGCAACATCTCTTATTTAAATGAGTACAGTATCAGTGAGAGGAATATGGCATAGGACAGGCTCTGGAGTCAGTCATAGCTGGGTCTGAATCTCTAGCTCAATGTCTGTCCCTCACAAGAGGATAATCCTGACAGATAAGAGTGATTTTACCTAGGCCCCAGTTAACTTATCTACAAAATCAGAGAACTCACTCTCACTCAGTGGCTGTAGGTAATCAGTAAGATAAATGCTAACAGGCATAGTACAAGGAATTACCTAATTATATTTTGCTCAACAGGAAAAAAAAATATCCAAAACTTCATATCTCTCTTAGAGTCATTAACATGAAAATAAAAAGCCAAGTAGCACACTACTGAACTCTATGTCTTCTTCAAGGGTCTTATGCATGCTAGGCAAGCACTCTACCACTGAGCAATACTCTCAGCCCTAGATCTATGTTTTCTTTCATTTCTGTATTCCCCAAACCTAGAATACAGTAGGTGATCATAAAATATTTGGAACCGAATGATTATAAGAATTATTAAGCTGGATATGGTGGCACACACCTGTAGTACCAACTACTTGAGAGGCTGAGAAGCAGGGATGCTTGAGCCCAGGAATTTGAGACCAGCCTGAGCAAGATGTGAGACCCTTTCTCAAATTAAATAAATAAATATTTTTTGAAAGACAGAATTCTTGATATGATTGATTTTTGAAAAGAGTGCTTTTACCATGAGAAGTATAGACTTGGAACAGATAGTGCTACCATAATAATACATACTTTGTTTTTTTCCTAATTTCTTCCACCAATTGTTTGATGTGGTCTTCCATAAATTCTATCTTTTCATTTTTCCGGGCATGTGCTTTCTGCAACCTAACTATCCTCTCAATCAGCATGGCCTTGTCCAATTCTGGAAAGTTATCCACAGCTACTGATGACCCAGTGTTTTCTGGAGATCGATCTTCTGCACTGCTCCGAGCATTAAGGGACCCTAAATGATATGCACACATACAAAAAAAAAAATCAGTTTAGATATTATTTGTAGTCTAGCATGCTAGACTCTCATCTCATGTATCGTTTATTTTGGTATCATTTTCAAATATTCACCCTAACATAGCTGGATGTAGAACATATCATAGGTTATTAGCTAACCAACTTCTTGTGTCTGAGTATACTGGCAATAAAATAGCAAAGCGTCCATCTATTATGTCTCTCAAGAACAGGATGTGAAAGTAGCAACAGAGAAACAAAAGATCTAAGAGAAAGAATAACAATTATAAGTGAGACCAAAATTAAAGTAAAAGAGAACAGAAAACAAAAAACAACAAAAAACAGTGGGGGGGCAGAATGTAGGATATAGGAGAGGAGAAGGAGGACAGAATATAGTGGATTATGTTCCAGAGCCAATCTATCCAGGTTCAAATCCTACTTTTCCAATTATTAGTTGTGTGACTTTGGACAAATTATTTAAAACTCACAGTGCCTTGGCTACTTCATGTCAAAATGGCATTAGTAATATTATTTACCGTTCATAAGATTATTAATATATTTATCTCATTTAGATGAGTTAATATATGTGAAGCACTCAGAACAGCGCATTATAGTAAGCACGATGGTTAGCTCTTCCTTTTTACCAATACCAATGAAATGAATTTTTGGTCCTCTTTACCCTATAAAAATCTGTTTCTCAACCCCACTGTATAGATTTAAGATAAGTAATGTATCTTATCTAAAATTATATAATACATTGCAGAAACTGGGTGTGATAGCACATGCCTGTAATCTCAACATCTCAGGAAGCTGAGACAGGAGAATTGCAAGTTTGAGGTCAACCTCAGCAACTTCATAGTGAGAGAATAGAACAGAATATAAATAAAATATAAATAAAAAATGGCAGAGGTGGGATATAAACATGCAACAATAATTTCAAATTCACATTCTTTCTACTACACATTTTTTCTACTATTGTAATAGCTGATAATATTTTGCCCCTCTAATGTGCAATTCCTAGGAGACAGTATAATGTAGAAGTTATAATAGAGAGACAGAGAGAGAATCCCAAATTTTATTACAAAATAATTATATAAAACTTCAATATTTTGTTTCAAAAGGAAACAAAGCATATCAATATTTTTAAGACCCAAATGCTATTTATTTTTATATTCAATTACTAAATAACAACTAAAACCATTGTTTTGTTTTTTTTTTACCTGATGAACTAGAACGACTCCCCATGCTGCTAACTTCTTTATCGTAGCTTCCATTCTCAACCTGATCTAATTTTCTTCGTGCTATAGGAAAAATAAGTGGATTACTTACAATAATCATCATGACCGTCCCATCCATCCCTGATTTTAGTTGCTAAATTCACTTAGTAAAAAATGGCATAGACTATAATAATAATAATAAGACAAAGTTCTTGAATACCTACCTTAGAAAGCTGTAGATGTCATTCATATAAAATGACATTTGGAATTGTACAGGTCAAATACAAAATATACAAAAATGACATTATGATAACTGACACTGGCATCATTTACTTGTACTGAACTTAACTTTTCAGAGTCCTGACAAAAGCTAAGATTGTGGTTCAGAGCACTTTCCTAGCATGTGTGAGGCACTGGGTTAGAGCCTCAGCACCACATTAAAAATAAATAAATAAAAGAAAGGTATTGTGTCCATCTACAACTTTAAATAGATAGATAGATAGATAGATAGATAGATAGATAGATAGAAGTCCTGACAGATTTAGAGGATCCTACCAGAAATTTCCCTTCAATTATAAGTACAAAAACAACTGAATTCTTATAGCAAATAACTGAACATATTCATGTTAAGTAATACATTTCACCCTATTTGAAAATAAAAAAAGTTGTGGAAAATGGTAAGAGAATAGCTAGTTGGAATACTTGTCTTATTCATCTTTGTCCAAGCACATAGTACAGATACCCAATAACCTCTATGCATTTTAAATTAAAGAAATCTGGGTTTTAATTCTAGTTGATCATTGTTGTGTTCAGGTAATTTATAACCTTTCCAGGTCTGTTTCCTGAGACCCAGATGCAGAGCTAGGTCTCAACCATCTCTAAGTTAGAGACAAGATGTAGATCCAGGTACCCTAAATGCAGTACAGATCAATTCATAGGCATATGTAGGTAGAAAATATTACAATTTTTATTTATGCTTAAAGATAAATCTTTTCAAATTTCTATTTTTATCTAACACATCTAAAATGCATAAATAAACACATAAATTGGAGAAAACCAAATATTTTTTACTGATAAAAAAGTATGTAATCAAAAAAGTTTAGACACTCTTGCCCTAAGGTAATACCTACCACAATTCTTACATTCTGTGGCTCTGTGAATAAATATCCTTTAGTATAGAAGACAGGCAGTTCATAGAACTGCAAGGTTAGCAATTTATCTATGAAAATTAATATGTTAAAAGGAATAAATAGCTCCAGTAAATGTGGTAGAACCTGAAATATATTTTTTCTACAAAATCTTTAATGATTAAAAGAAACAAATATATTCAAGGTCTAAATGAGGAAGAATTTTATACCTTGCTGAAGTTGCTTGGTAAGATCCTTGACATTAGAGGCATGTTTACGTCTTTGAGTTACTAACTCATCTTTCAATTCTTCTACCTGGGTACTCAATGCTTTAACTTCTGTTTGTTTACACATAAGGTCAGCTTGCAGAGTCTGGACTTCCTCTTTTCGAAGTTCTTCCTCTTTTAACAATCTACTTTCCTGAATATTAAGTAAGATAAAATGAAAAAAAATTTAAATCATATATTTATTTCTATTATTGCTCAAATGACAACCTTAAAAATATATGGTCCCTGAGAGACAGTCTTCTATAGCTCCTCCTTACAAGGTTTTATTTATTGAGCTCCTCCAAATTCTCATATAGTGAGGCAAAGGGATACACTAAATGAGTGTGTTGTTCTGCACATGCAAAACTACCTGTGACACAGGTCTTCGAATTTTTGCAATTTCAAAAACTCAAACTATTTTTTTATATTTATTTTTTATTTTTTTTTAGGTGGACACAATATCTTTATTTTTTATTTTTTTTATGTGGTGTTGAGGATAGAACACAGGGCCTCGCGCATGTTAGGCAGGCGCTTTACTGCTGAGCCACAATCCCAGCACAAACTCAAACTATTTTTATGAGTAATTTGAAGACATTCTAATAACTTGGAAATATTAAACCACTTTGAAACTATTTTTAAAAATAAATGTAAAGTATTACCTTTAAAAAAATATATAATGATTCTAGTTAAGAATGACAGAAACCATGGCTTTCTTATTTTCAAAAGTGAAACATTCTTCTTTATTATTTTAGGGAGAAAATTTACTACAAATCACGTCAGTTGAAAGGAAAAAAACCAACATTTTTTAAAATATATATTTTTTTAGTTGTAGATGGACACAATACCTTTATTTTATGTGGTGCTGAAGATCAAAGCCAGTGCCTCACAGATGCTAGGCAAGTGCTCTGTCACTGAGCTACAGCTACAGCCCGCAACATTTTTTTTTAAAGCATTTGAAATTACCAGAAAGTCAGTGCCAATAGAAAAGTGCTTAAATTAACTACTACTACATTTTTATGCTATGGGGAAATTTTAATCTGTGTTTCTTGTTAGTTGTTTCAAGAGTTAAATATATATATTTATACTTACCAAATTAGTATTTGTCTGTCTCATTTGTTCACATTGGTTTTGCAACTGACTTTCACTACAGGAAAGTTTATCATATTGTGACTGCAAGGAATTGCACTCAGATTGAAGCTGTGCATTCTTACTAGTGAGCTTTTCTGTGAACAGCAGTAGCTCAGATTCTCTTTTCCTACTTCCTTCGATATCTTTTTGTAGGTCATTAATCAAAGAATTAAGACTTTCCATTTCTTCCTTCAAATTTTCAATTTCTTGCTTACCTCTAAAAAACAAAGTTTATATTTCAGAAAATATGAGACTATTAAGAGACATTAAACTAATGGTTTGGGGAATTTTAAAATTTCATTAAAATTTTCAATTTAAATGCAATGCTTTTTATAAAGAGACTTTTATTCATTCATCCAAATATTTATGAATGAATAAAATAATAGGAACTAAGGACTGAGAGTATAAATGAGCAGGGCCTACATGCTCCTGCTTTCAAAGAACTTTTAATCAAGAAGGGAAATTACACGAGTGTGATAACTGTTTCTGATGAAAACCCGGCAAGTTGCCTAACTTCATATAAGTGATGCTCAAACTAATACTTAAAGTAGCATTTACTGTCTGCAAAGGTCCAGTCAGTAGATAAGCTGGGCGTCTTGGCATATGGATTTTGTTGCAATCGTTCCACTTTGCCACTGTAGATGAAAATAGCCAGAGACAATATGTACAAAAATGAGTGTGGCTAGATGCCCAGAAAACTGCACTTACAAAAAGAGGTGGTGGGCTAGATTTGGCTTATGGGCCATAATTTGTTATCCTTCAAAAAGAAAAAGGAAAAAAGAAAAGCAGAAGTTTGTGGGAAAAATTCAAAATAAGTTCTAGGAAGAGGAATGAATATGTGCTAAAGCTGGAAAGGGAAAAGGAGAAGGGTTTCTGGTTGGTACCAATAGGTATTCAGCACTGATGATAATCAGGACTTCACTACATCCTTAGCACTTGACAAGGTCTTGACAGGCCTTAAAAATCTGTTAACAAACTATAGCTGAAATATAAGAGTGAAAAAGAGGAAGGCACGAAGAAGCAAGGAACAGGTCACTAATCTCACAAGCCATGCTAAGGCATTTGAACTTCCTAGGCAATCTTTGAGGCAATGGGAAATCACTGAAAGGTTTTGAGAAAATGTTCTTTTTAAAAAGTTTATGCTAATAACAGTGTAGGAAATGTCCTGGAGAAAAAGTAAACAGAAAAATCAGTTTATGAGCTATGGCAGTTTTCCAGATGGGAGCTGACAATGGCTTGGATGATGGAGGTAAGAGAGGGAATATAAAAAAGTAAATGGACTTGAATGATATTAAACACTGGACACATCACTAATACTTTGGGACTGGCTAGGTATGTGAGAGGAGGGAAGGAAGAGCCAAGCATGACCCCCAGGTTTCTGGGTTAGACAGTCATTTGGGTGCTAAACTCATCACTTATCCCAGAACATGAAAGAAGAAGCATATTCGTGGACAGAAGAAAGGACTCAATTTTGGATATATTAAAGTTTAAGGTGTTTTTGGTACTTATGTGCCTAAAGCTAAGCAAAAAGAGCTGACAATAATGATTCAAAGAATCTGATGCACATTAGAGGAACAATTAGGATCACTCAGGGAATGACAAAATTTGAACACAAGAGGGTTTTCTGACAGAAAGAAAAGCCTGATAAAGAGACTAAGAAAGCGTGGCCCAGAAGGCAGGAACACCCAAAACGCATGATAAAAACAGAGCCAAAGGAACAGAGCATTTCAAGAAAGGTAAGTTTAACACTGTTAAAAGATCCTAAAAATTCAAGCAAAGCTGGGTCTGAGCTATATCCACCATAGTTAAGGGGATATTAAATTTTATGGAATGCTGAGATCAAAGTTAGAATAGAAAGAAACCCAACAAAGGAAGTAAAGAACTGGGGAATGAGTACAGCTAATTTTTTTAAAAAGTAATTACTTTATTTTTTATTCTAATTTGTTTTATATGATAGCATAATGCATTACAATTCATATTGTACAAACAGAACACAATTTTTCATATCTCTGGTTGTACATAGAGTCACACCATTCGTGTCTTCATACATGTACTTAAGTATTGATGTCCATCTCATTCCACCATCTTTCCTACCCCCTCCCTTCCCCTCCTACCCCTCTGTCCTATCTATTGTTTGTCTAATCCTCCCACACTCCCTCTCCAACCCCACTATGAATCAGCTCCTTATATCATCTCGGGAGCAAATTTTTACCACTTGCACATAAGATAGAGCACTAATCTGTAGGGTATATAAAGAACTCAAAAAGCTAAACACCATGAGGACAGGCTGGGGTTGTGGCTCAGCAGTAGAGCGCTTGCCTAGCATGCATCGGGCACTGGGTTTGATCCTCAGCACCACATAACAATAAAATAAAGGTACTGTGTCTAACTACAACTAAAAAAATTTTTTTTTTTTTTAAGAAAAGCTAAACACCAAACAAAACCCCCAAATAACCCAATCAATAAATGGGCTAAGGAACTGAACAGACACTTCTCAGAAGATGATATACAATCAATCAACAAATATATGAAAAAATGTACAATATTTCTAGCAATTAGAGACCTGCAAATCAAAACTACATCAAGATTTCATCTCACTTCTGTCAGAATGGCAGCTCTTAAGAATACAAACAACAATAAGTGTTAGTGAGGATGTGGGGAAAAAGGCACACTCGTACATTGCTGGTGGGACTGCAAATTAGTCCAGCCAGTATGGAAAGCAGTATGGAGATTCCTTGGAAAACTGGGAATGGAACCACCATTTGACCTAGCTATTCCACTCCTCAGTCTATACCCAAAGGACTTAAAAACAGCATACTACAGGGACACAGCCACATCAATGTTTATAGCAGCACAGTTCACAATAGTTAAACTGTGGAAGCAACCTAGATGTCCTTCAGCTGATGAGTACAGCAAATTCTATCAAAAGTTTGTGAAAAGGAGAAAAATACATTGGTAGAGGAAGATCCAAAGAGTTTTGATTTTTTAAAAGTATGATCATATTTAAATACAGAAAGAAAAGGAAAGTCAGCAGAGATATATAAGAGATATGGGTGGGATAAAAAAGGAATAATCAAGAAAGGCCTTGCGAAGGCAGAAGAGCATGGATCCACAACAGAAATAGAAAGAAAAATTAGGTCAGAGAGGAGCAGGAACATTTCTTCCATAACAGAAGCAAAGGAAAGAAAGAATGCAGATATGGGCAGTTCAAAGGACTAATAGCAAGATGATGAGAATACTGTCATCCGACAACTTCTATTTTTTTTTCTATAAAGAAGCAATCATTTGGCAGGAGTAGAGGGGTAAAGGGGAAACCTGAAAAGTGAGGAAAGTGATCAAGTTTAGAAGAGATGCTAAGAGAATTGGGTAGAAGGCTCCGATCAAAGACATGTAGTAGGAACAGAAATGCATAAATATTCCTAATTGAGGTCAGTGACCATGAACTTCTGTGGTGTCAATCTGGATGATGGTTGAAATTACTTCAGCACCTTGGGTGTGTGTGAGGTGCAAAAAAGAAGACACTGTTTGAATTCAACCTCAACTGAGGCTCTGCAAGGTAATGCCAGAAATGGAGCTTAGTTACACAGTTTTATAAGAAGACAAGGAATAATGTCAACTCATTACATTAAAAGCAATGCACATTCAAAAATCTAGATTTTGATACTCTTCAAGATTTACCTTTTAGAAGGAAAAAAGTATTCTACATAGTTAATGGAATTTCAAAGTTGAAGAAACTAAATAAAACCAATCTGTCTTATAAATTGTTATTGCAAATTATATTAGGGAATATAAACTTTGATTTTTATAATCCATTGTGGGAGCTCAAATATAGTCCAAAAAAGTTCAAGTGAAGAGAGAAAAATTTTGAATTGTAGCTAGTAAAACTGTAAAAATTGTTCTTCACGCAATAATTCCATTTAAAAATATAATCTTGAAATAGAAGTAAAAAGCTTGTTTATCAACACAGAGATGTTGTTAATTTTGTACCTTTGAAGCTGATCCTGTATCTGATCTGCAATTTTCACTTTATCCAATAAATTCTGAATTTCAGCTTTTTGGCGATTAATAATTTCCTTGTATTTCGACAATTCATCTTCTGTTCTTAATCGTTCATCTTCTAGACATTTTGCCTATTAAATTATCGTAACCAAGTTAAACTACAAATAATATTTTCTTATTCCTTATAAACTATTTCAGATAGTGGTTACATATTAGAAATCAAGGCTTAATTCTAAAGCAGTATTAGTTCATATGAAGAAAATACAATAGGAAGTTAATGTTCTAGATTTCAATTGCAGATTTCTGGTGATTCAGTCATGAGAGTTTAAGCATGTCACTTTATTTTTTACTAATTTTCATTTATTCATCTGAAAAAAAAAAAAGGATCTATCTTCCCCAACTACTTCAAATAACTGACATGGAGAACAAATAGGAAGGTATATGAAAAACTCTTTGAAAATTATTAGGTGATTCCAGATTCAAAGTGGTAACTGAAAGGCCTATTATGATACCTGTGATAATATATAATATTATTCATAATCATATTAAAAGGTAAGGCACTTTACCATGACAATTAAAGACTTCAAACAGTGGAAGAGATTTAACAGGCTGTTAGAAATGCAATCTTTACCCATCTAAGACAATTAAATATACCCAAGGAGAAACAGATAGTTTTCTTACTATTTTCTGGCACTCATAGTTCTTAGATTCAACTATCTTTCCAAATGATTTGCTAAAACAACAATCTTTAGATCAAAGGCCCAAGGATAAGTTATAATCACAGCAAATATGGAATGGAATACAAATGTTTGGCAAATACTTCAAAGAAATTAACATGGAATATACTTTCATTTCAATGAAAGTCAATTATATTACCAGAGAATTGCTATTGTGCTCCTCTAAGTTCTTTTATTTATTTTTTTATTTTGTAAAATTTCTTTTATCTCCCTTTCTCTTTCTCTCCTTCCTACTTCTCCTTCCCCCCTCCCTTCCTTCATTTCTTCCTTGCAATACTGGGAATTGAAACCAAGAGTGATCTATCTACCACTGAGCTCCACCCCTAGCCCTTTTTATTTTTTATTTTGAGACAGGGTCTCACTAAGTTGCCCATACTAGCCTTGAACTTGCAATCTTCTTGCCTAGTCTCTCAAGCAGTTAGAATTATAGGTGTGGGCCACTGCACTCAGCTATTTTGAAAAAATTTCTATGTAACTACCTTTTCCCCACCCCTTCAAAAATCAGAGTAAATCCAAAGTTAAAGATATTTACCCTTCTTCCTCTGGAATCATAACTAAAGATTTGATTACCTTTGTCCTCAGTGTTCGCAGTTCATCCATACCCTCTTTAAAGGTCCTCTTCAGATCTTCCAGTTCCTTTATTTTGGCATGATGCATCTTTAAAAGAAACCACAAATCATAATGCACTAAACTACATCTAAAACTTATCGCCTACTTGTTCCAAAAGGCTTTAAAAGTAGATAACAACACCTACTCTGTCTCTCTTTCTGTATTTACTACATAGTCTAAGATATTCAAAGAGCAAAAGTATTCACCTCTAGCTGGTCAGATTTTTCTTGCATTTGTTTTTCAAGTTCTCCTTTTGTGACTCTAAGTTTTGCATCAAGCTCATTTGATTTAATTTCTTCAGACTCCTAATGGAAGGAAAACAGGGAAAAAATGATGATTTTTAAAGCTTTATATTTTGAAAAGCTAAGAAAGTTTTGCAGCTGAGTTTACTAATTGTGAAACATACAGCTATGTACCTAAAATTGAACAATGCATTGAAAGATTTTAAACGTCAATTTTGCATGAATAAGAATAGCATATTATATAACATAATAGAAAGTAGTTTCTTCTTTAAAGTTTTAAATTTCCTTGCATTTTTGTCCTTCTGACATTCTCTACAAATTTCACTTGGTTAAAACTGCTCTAATAAGATCCAAAGCAGCAGGTAGTTTAACAGAGGAATTAACCTGCAACTTGTTTAACTGTTCTATCAAATCCATTCTATACTTCAGATATTGCCAATACAGAAATTTAATGAAACCGGAATACTGACATTTCGTATAATTTATTACACACAGTGTGTCTAAGTGCCTCACACCCAGACAGGGAGGTAACTCAAATCACGTGCGAGAATGGCTTCCCACAATTTATTACCAATCTACTTGAAAAGCTAAACATACCTGATATGTTTTTATCATATCCTGACAGTTTTGTCGTATCTGATCTGCTTCTTCCTTTGCTTGTGTTAACTTTGTTGTTGTGTCTTTGAGTTTATCTTTGGTTTCCTGCATTGACAAAGAAAGACAAAGTTGGCCACAATGACACAAAGAATGGTAAAAAAGTAACCATGGAGTAGGGAAAGTTCTTACTGTACCAAGGGGTGGTATACTATTCTTGCAATAATATTTTATGTTTCTAATAGAAAGTTAAATGGCCTACACAGTGAACTGATAGCCATTAAATAAAGTTAGTTTTCAGCAAATTACCAGAAGTTATTAACCAGATAAGAAAAGCAAAGCGTCAAATAGTTCTTTGCATACCCTTATATGAAAGAGAGTATTTTGGTTTATGGCCATGATATCTATTCAAAACTGCATTTTTAAAAAATATTTTATTTTTTAATAGTTGTACACAGTATCTTTATTTTGTTTACTTTTTTTTATGTGGTGCTGAGGATCAAACCCAGGGCCTTGCAAGTGCTAGGCGAGCGCTCTACCACTGAGCCACAACCTCAGATTTCAAAACTGCATTTTAATTAATAGATGCTGCAATATGGTTTTGTTCCTTGCCGTTCTCCTAAAATGGCAATTATAAAGATTTTTCTGGGCTATTCTCATCAAATTCAAGTACTTTTTCTCATTTTTATACTTTTCTTACCTGCTCCTTGACCACCCCTGACTCTTTAAATATCCTAATTTTGTGGCCATTACAAGACAATATTCTCCTCCTTTTCTTCTTTCTTCACTTTTCCTTTCTACTCTTGGGATTTTCAAACATACAACCCTTGCTCTGCAGCTTTTTGTAATCTCCTGCACAGACCTGATTTAGTGCCATAGTTTGGGCTACAGTGAAAATTTTAAATGAGAGCTTAGGTATCTTCGTCTAGTAGCTTCAGTTCACAAAGTTGTAGATGCTGCTACTCTGCCTTCCCACAGATGGAACCCAGGGATGGCTTGGATTCTAACAACTGATATGCTGTATTGAAGGTTATATGTTTACCCAATTGAGTATAAAGCTTCTGGACAGCAACTAACTCAGTACTTATCATGTATTAATTGTTCAATTGATGTTTATAGAAGTAATGAAGGAACTCCTAATATGGATCTTTTGTTCTACTCAGTTTGGTTTTCCCACAGCAAATACTCACTTTTCTTTTTTCCTTTTTTCCTGCTATTCTAGTTGGAATACCTTTCCCATCATTTCTTGAATCCTTCAACTTGCATTTCTGCTTCACACACTGCTTTTTATATGTCATTTTAAAGAAACACATCTACTTCTGAGTTGCTGGTCTTTAATTCAACAACAACTAAAGCAGCATTGACATGTGGTAGATACTCGCTTCATCTACTTGAAAAATAGCAATTAAGATATTTCTATGTGCCAAACAAATATTTATTAAATAAATTTTATTAAATAAAATTTTAATTTTATTTAATAAAATTTTATTAAATAAATATTTGAACAAAGGAAAAGAATCACAGTGAATGTGTTTAGGCTAAGGTATCAACTGTGTTTCATTTGTTCACTTATTATTAACTGAGTGAGCACCTATTATGTACTAGTTACTGTCTATGCACTGAGGAAATAGTTGTGCAAGAAAATGAAAAAAATCCCTACTCTCTTTTTAAATTTTTTTTTATTTTAAGAGTTACAAAAACTTTTTATTTAAGAGTTAAATAAAAAATAAAATACATACGTAAATGATATATTAGGTATAAGTGCTAAGAAATAAAAATAAAGCAAGGACATGAGAAATTTTGGGGGAAGTACTGAAAGTTTAGATAGGGTAGTTAGGGGCTTACTGAGAAGCTGACAGGAAAAGACTTGAAAGACATGAATTGGGGGGATTTGCTGAGAAATTGGATATGGTAACTGTGAGAAATCAAGAATAAATTCAAGGTTTTTGGACTGAGCAACTGCAAGGATGAATTGCAATTTATTGAGATAGGCAAGCAATGGAGGGAAGGGCGCATTATCAGTTCAGGTTTAGAAGTGTTAAATTTAAGATGCCTCTAAGTTATTGAAGGTGTCAGATGTCAAGTAGTCAGTTGAATATGTGAATCTGGAGTTCTGGGCAGAGGTTACGAATCTGGTAGTCACCAGCATGCAGCTCTCTATTGCTGTTTTCAGGTACACTAATCTTGTCTTCTGCAGTGCTAATCTGTTGTGAAGTCTATCCAATGTATTTTTCAATGTATTATGTGAATTTGGTCTTTTTTCTATCTTCCATATCTCTCCTTATCATAGTCATGCTTTTATTTATCTTCTTGAACATATGAGAGTATATTTATAATAGCTGTTTTAACATCCTTGTGTCTTATCCTACATTTCGTATCATTTCTAGATCTGTTCCTATTGATTGATTCTTGCTTTATTCTCATTATGGGCTATATTTTCTTGCTTTCTTGCATGCTGGTAGTTTTCCTTTGGCTAAACAGTGAATTTTGTGCTCTCAGGTCAAGATTTTTATTAAATATTTTTGGACTTTGTTTTAAGGCATAGCTAATTTACCTGAAATAAGATTGCTTTTAAAGCTTTATAAGGTGGGTCCATAACAAACGTAGTGTAAGGCCACTGGTCCCCCACAACTAAAACAATATCCGTTTGGGGCCTGCCTACTTGCTGCCCTGTGTGTAAAGAGATCTTATCTCTTTGGCTAGAGGAAACAAATAGTTTCTAGCCCTGAGTAACTCTAGGAATTACTGGCCATATTCCTTTCTGATCTCTGGAACTCTGTCCTCCCTGTTCTCCACACTTTCAACTCTCTCTCTTCTCTTCAGGGGGACTGCTGGCCTCTATTTAGGTTCCTTTCATTGTAACGCAGCCTGGAAACCTCCTGGCACTGTACGTCATTTGTTTCCCTTCATTCAAGGATCACTGTCTCATGCTGCTTATTGTCTCAAATCTAAAAACATTCACTTCATATATTGTTTCATTTTTTTTTTTTTTTAGTTTTAGAAGATGGAAGGGTAAATCTGAACGTGCTTATTCCATAATGTAATAGAATATAGTCAACAAAATAAGGTAATAGTATAGAAAAATTACAGAACAGAACATAGAATATAGCTTAGTAGGTGACATGAAATGGCAAAGCTAATTTAAAGTGAGCTCTAGCTTCCATTAGTGGGCCTTATGAGAAAACAAACCATTTAGGAATGAGACTATCACAGACAACACAACCACCTTGGGAGAAGAGCACATTAAATGGCAAAGTCTTGCTTTAGGTGACCTAGTGGAAGGAACATGTCATAAAATATATCAATCCTGGTAATAAATTAGATCTCCTGCATCCTGTTGGTCTGGGTACTGCCTCCATACCAGACTCCATTATTCTAGCTTTCTCTGAAGCATAATTGTCTGGCAAGTACCCAGAACTGCCAAATCATGTTGCCAAAGAACACATTTATTGCCAGCCACACCTATACTTTGGTGAAAACATCTTATCCTGAGACCAGGCTGGTGAAAAGGTAGGCCACCAGGTAGATGATCAAATACATCAGATACATTGGGGGAAGTCTTCCTTCTTTATTCATTACACTCAAAATAAAAGGCTTTGTTCTAAGAGGTAAGGCATTAAAAATGATTTTAGCTAAACCCCAAAGAAGTCTTAAGGGAAGGGAACAAAATAGTTTCTATTTGATCTGATGATCTGGGTGTCTAGACTACCTAGGCTACACTTCAGTTCTGGTAGTATGTCCTAGAGATCTGTATGCTTTGACCCAGAGATTCCCTCTCACATCTATTAGGTAACACATAAAATATGTAAGCAAGGGTGTAAGCAGGGGTCTATCCCAGACCCTCTCTGAAAGCAATGACTGTGTACAGAACTAAATGCTTGCTGGGAAGAAAAGCCTTACTTTAAAAGAACAGGTAAATATTGATTTTCACATACCAGGCTAGTATGGTTGTTATTTTCACTTTCTAGCATCCACACCATGTTACCTTACAGATGTCAGCCTTAACCCACTTTTCTAATGCACTTACAGAGTATTTGGTTCCATCTATCTCAAGGCTGTCATTAAGAATCAGATATCGGGCTGGGGATGTGGCTCAAGCGGTAGCGCGCTCGCCTGGCATGCGTGCGGCCTGGGTTCGATCCTCAGCACCACATACAAACAAAGATGTGTGTCCGCCGAAAACTAAAAAATAAATATTAAGGAATTCCCCCCCCCCCTCTTCTCTCTTTTTTTTTTTTAAAAAAAGAATCAGATATCACCCATTCTCTGAATATACAGAGCTCATATATTTGTAAAGTTTTTCACTCCTCAATGCTAGTGTTCCAGTAAGTTTAAGGATCCTGTCTCTTTTGACAATAGATGAAAATAAGGAAGGTTCCTCAAATATTAGATATTAGTCCAAGTATTATGTTCATATCGTAAAGCAATTCAGGCAGCTAAAAACCATTATTGTCCATGTGGATTTGGAATTCTAATTCCTCATTCTGAAAACCAAAAGGAAGGGAAATAATAAATGGCTCAGCCCTGGAGACCTCTAGGGATTGCTACCCTGTTCCTTTCTGGCATTTCTTTCTTAGCCTTGGTAGCTTCCTCATATACCTGTGCAGACTTAAGGGGAGTCTACTGTTCTGCAACCTATCTTTGACCATTGTAGACTACTCTCCCTACAGTCTTCTCTGATGATACTAACATATGAATACCCAAAGGCTATTAAAAATACTGATTTGGAATTATTTAATATAGTAATCCAGGATTATAGTTTTAAAGGATATCATTAGGCTTATTTTTGAAAGCCTCAAAGTTGATATATTTCTATTTCTATATTACTCTTCTATTCAAGTCACATTTCAGAGTTGCTCTTTTACTTAATATCAACTACAGACTTTTATTACTTTGAGTATCAGCTCATTTAGTGCTTAAAATTATGGCATCTGGTACCAACTTTTATAATTATTTTTAATTATATTTATTTTTTATTAAAGTGATATTTGCAGCTTGGTATTGTGGCATATGCCTGTAATCCTAGAGAAATCGGGATGCAGAGGCAGGAGGATCACAAGTTCAAGGGCAGTCTGAATAATTTAGCAAGACCCTGTCTCAAAATAAAATTTAAAAAGGATGGGGTACGTAGCTCAGTGGAAGAGCACTTGACTAGCATGCATAAAGCCCTAGGTTTAATCCCCAGTAACACCAAAAAAGAAAACAAAAATAAAAACAAAAAAGTTAAGAGAACTTATGTTTATTATTTTATTTAAATAGCATCACTGATATTTCTAAAAATTTCCAGAGTTTATTTTTGATTTTGATAACTTACACATACTCGTACCCGGCCTCCGACTTTGCATACAAAATAAAAATGCAATAAGGCAAATTTTGGTGTTGTAAACTACAAATAATAAAATTTAACATTTCAACCCATAAGTAAATCATGCAAGAAAACCTCTTTTTCATAATCACCAAATATTCAGGTCCAAACTATCCTGTAGGAGTCACTAAAGCAAGTTCCATGTCTCCTTAACTGCTATTGCATTCACTCCTAATTCTAATTTCTATTTCATGGTGTTATAGTACTCACCTTGTGTGAATCCATTTCAGCTTTCAATTTATTTTGGGCCCACTTTACTTTAATGATTTGAGAGCTGATATCTTCCTTTAATTTTTCTATTTCTCTGATGAGTCTAGTTGTTTCACCTTCCTAAAATAATATCACTAGGTCATATTTTTCACTTAAACAATCAATCATTTGTTTATCATTTATATCCCTTCAAAGTAATCCATTCAACACCACTATAATTTAAGGGCTAATACACTATGGCCCTTAGGCCACAAAACTGATTAGAAGGCAGTAAAATTCTAAATTTAATTAATAGACATGAAGATGATTAATACCTATATTTTAACTAATTGGATGTGTTGTGAGCACAAGTACATGTATATGATTCTTCTTAACTGGTTGACATTAAATATTAAATTGGTTTTGCAAGAATTTCTGAGAATTGATAACAATATTTCTGAATTAAAAGACATTAATTTAATTACTTAGTTAACTCAGTAAGTAAATAACCTAGGATAGCATCTAGGAAGGATATGTTTTTCTATAAGAAAAGCATAAATTCTACTCTATAGTGAATAAGTGCTACATTAAGAGTCTGTCTGAATAGATATGTTTCTGGCTCTAAAACTATTCACATGTAACACAACTATGTACATATTTTACCAAAACAGTTTTCTTTGAGACACAAGTTAACCCAATATATGGATTTTAAAAAGAAGATCTATTAAAAAAAGTTATCTAAAATTTATCTAAAAAGATCAAAAAAAATATCCAATAAACATGTGCCAATCATTACCTCATCTTTTCCCAGAAAACCTTTTTGCAGGCAAGTAATGAGATATTATAATTTCTAAACACTCATGTTCTTAGAAGGTTAATAACAATAACTTTGAGTGTTTAAACCATGCTATCATCATTTGACTGGAAAAGCAAAGAATAAATTTCAAGTAAGATACAATGGTACAATCATACCTTTGCTTCATATAGCTGCTGCAACCGGCCTTTCTCCTGAGAAAGCTGCTTAATTTTGTTAGTGTTTTTCTCAAACTCCTTATTTGCGTCTCTAAGTTTCCTCTCAAGGATCTCTTTTTCCTTTCGAAGGTCTAAAGATTCCTTCTCACCTCTTACATACTTCATTACCATTGCTTCTTTCTCTTGGCGTGCCTCTTCACATTTCTTGTTGGCCTTTGAAAAAAATATTATCTAGCATTAATAAAAAGATTTTAAAATAAAAATATATTAAAATAAATAATGTTTTCCTATATCACCAATGTATTTTTTATTCGTGCATTACATTCTAAGCTCTTGTGTCATAAAATTTTGAGATAAAAAGAAAAATTCAAAATTATAGAAAACAATACGATACTAATATTTGCTATTATTCTTTCCAATTCCTTTTACTTTGGCTGATATTTTCCATGTATGCTCCCAGACCTGCTATCCTACCCTTTTCTGTCCCATCCTGTGGCCCAGGAAAATGACTGTCATAGACCACATCAACAAGTTCCCTTACCCTCAAACTTCCATTTGGGTTCTGCCAGCAGGAGACATTAAACAAACATTCAGCAATGAAGGCAGAGTGAGGTCTGACTTCTCTAGAATCACCAGAGGTAGCCTGAAGACACTAACTCCTGTCAGGTGGCCTCTCTATACAACTATTCTCTCTGGATTGCCCTGATTTTGGAGCTCCAGAAGTGTAAGTTAAATAAGCTTCTTTTCTTTATGGAGTACCCAGACTCGGGTATTTTTTTAATAGCAACACAAAACAGACTATACATAATATGTGTGACTTGTGCATGCACAGGAGGTACGAAAACTAACCAAAATATCAATAATTAGCTATGGAACAACGAATGGGATATAAACAAATTGAAGGCAGGGGAAAAAATTATAGATAAAGGAGGACTTTCATTTTTTATTCTGTATACTTCCTTGACTTATTTTTAAATAATTAGAAGGCATTTATGTATTGTTTTAGTATCTTTGTTTATTTATTTATTTTTTTTGAGATGCTAGGGATTGAACATAGGGCCTTATGCATTCTAGACAAGCATTCCACCACTGAGCTACAGCCCAGCTCTGCTTTAGTTGTTTTTTTTTTTTTTTTTTTTTCGGTGCCATGGATTGAACCCCAAGGTGCTTAGCCACATCACCAGCACTTTTTATTTTTTATTTAGAGACAGGGTCTCACTTAGTTACTTAGGGCCTTGCTAAATTGCTGAGGCTGGCTTTGAATTTACAATTCTCCTGCCTCAGCCTCCTGAGCCACTAGGATTATAGTCATGTGCCATTGTGCATGGCTCTGCTTTAGTATTTTTTTTTTTTTTATAATTCTGCTTTAGTATTTTTGAAAGGCTGATTTTATATAAATAAAATTAATATTCTTAACACACCATTGATGTCAAAAAGCCTAAAAGAGTTAGTTTATTTTAGTAAATAATGGAGTCACCAGACTATAAAGTTAATAATTTAGGAACATGAAAAATACCTGGTCCATCCGTTGGGCCATCTCTTTGTGTAATTGCTGAATTGCATTTTTAGCTGCAATGTCTTGAGCTACTAGTTTATCTTTGGAAACTTTAACTTCTTTATTAAGTTCCTCTATTCTTGATTCTAACTGTAAAGAAAATTATTCCCAGATCATTTTCATTGCTATAACAAACAGACCACTAATACTTCAATAAATAGTATGTATATAGTACAAAGAATGTAATGAATATATTTTAATCATTGGAATCAATAGCAATATTTCTATATCTCATTGGAATTGTTAGCATAAATCTGAAGAGAGTAATACATTAAAGTATACATATGGTACCCTGGAGCATCCACTCAGGAATAACTCAAAGAAGTATAGTTAAATATTATGAAAGAAATTTAAATATTACATTAGAAAATATTCAATTAGTTGAAAAGAAAGTAGAGGAGAAGAAGAGGGGAGAAATAAGACAGAAAATGAAAAGCAAAATGGTAGACGTGAATCAATGTAAAATATCATATTAAATGAAAATGGATTATATAATCATATCAAAAGGTAGAAACTGACAGATTGAAATAAAAAAAAAAAAACAGGATTCAACTATATGTTGCCTCCAGGAGACAATTTAGGTCCAAAGATAAACTGAAAAGAAAAGAATGCAAACAGTAATCATAAGTAGGAGCGATTATATGAATATCAGACGAAATTGAATAAAATTTAAAAAGTGTTACAAGAGATCCAGAAGGACATTTTACAATGATAAAAGGATCAATCCATTGAGAAAAATCAAAAAGATCTAACACATATCTAATAACATAGCACCAAAAAACTTGAAGTAACAACTGAACAGAAATGAAGGGAGAAACAGACAAATCAATAAGTCAGAACTTCAATATGCTACTTCAAAAGATAGACTCAACTAGGCAGAAGATTACTGAGGAAACAAGAGAGTTCAACTAACTAAAAAACAACTGGATGTAATACAACACTCTACCCAGCAACAGCAGAATATACATCTACTCAAGTACACATGGAATGTTCCCCAAGATAGAATGTGTGCTGGCTTTACAAATAAACCTCAATAAATTTAAAAGATGGAAATCATACAAAATATGTTCTCTAACCCTAACGAATTAAAATTAGAACTCAGAACAAAGAAATTTGGGAAATTCACAAGTTTGTGAAAATTAAACAACATAATCATAAATAACCAATGGGAAAAAAATCACAAAGGAAACTGAAACTAGTTAGTGAATAAAAATGAACACATAACATACCAAAACTTATTTGGTGCATTTAAAGCAATGTTTAGAAGAAAATTTGTAACTATAGTGACCTTTATTAAAAAATAAAAAAGATTCCAATTTAATAACCTAAATTTCTAGTATAAGGCAATGGAAGAACTAATTAAACCAAAAACGGAAGAAGAAATAATATAGAGTGGAACTTAATAAAACAAAGAATTAAAAAACAGAAACAACAAAACTAGAAGTTGATTCTTTGAAAAGGTTGACAAACTTTTAGCTAAATTGAGAGAAGACTCAAATTACTAGAATTTAAAGATGGACATTACTACTGACCTTAGAGAAATAAAAAAAATTGTGAATGAATATTACAAATATTTAACTTAGAAAAAATGGAAAATTCCCAGAAAAAAAAATCAACTATCTAACTAGCTCAAGAAGAAACATAAAGTTTCAATAGACCTGTACAAGTGATTTCTTAACCAGAACAGCAACCAAAAAAAAAACTATCCACACCAAGAAAAATTCAGGTGCAGATGGCTAACAGGTAAATTCTACCAAACATTTAAAGAATACCAATTCTTCTAAAATTCTTGTCTTTAAAAAAAAAAAAAAGAAAAGAAAGAAGCTCCTTTCAACTCATTCTATTTACTCCTAGGTATATACCCAAGAGAAATGAAAATATGTCCACATAAAAACTTGTGTATGAATGCTCACAGAGCATCAATTGATGAAAGGATGAATAAAATATTTATTCATACAATGGAATATTATTCAATCATTTAAAACAACAAAGTACTGATGCATACCTCAATTTGAAAGAAACTCTGAAAACACTGTTACTTAATATATGATTCCATTTATATTAAGTTTCCAGAAAAGGCCAATATATAAAGACAAGATATGTTGTTCTCTAAGTCTAGGGATGAGGGTGGTATTGGAGGCAAATGAGTGACAACTAATAGTGGTGGGGTTTCTAAACCCATGGTGAAGGTCACACAAATTAATAACCATTGAATCATACACTTGAAATGAGTGGATTGTGAGGTATATGAATTTTATCCCAAAAAACTATTTTAAAAGACCTAAACATTACATGTGTGCTGATTTTTCTTATAAAAAACTATCTACAGACACTACCAACAGAAATACAAACCACAGATGGATGTAATGGCACATGCCAATAATCTCAGCTACTTAGGAGGGCGAGGCAGGAGAATCACAAGTTCAAGGTCAGAACACGCAACTTAACAAGACTCTGTTTCAAAATAAAATAAAAGGGCTGAGGATACAGCTCAGTGGTAGAGCGCTTGTCCAACATGCTCAAGGCCCTGGGCTCAATCCTCCATGCAGCAATGCTCAGGGGAAGATAAATGATAACGAGGACTTTGATTTCATTAGTGGATTAATCTACTGATAGTTGAATGGACAAATGCAAGTGGTGGAAACTGCAGGTGGTGAGGCAAGGTTGGAGGAAGTAGGTCACTGGAGGTGTGTTTCTTGTCCCAAGTTCCTTCCTCTTTCTTTGCTTCCTGGCTGCCATGAGATGAGAAGCTTTCCTCCATCTTGCTCTTCCACTATGATGTTCTGCCTCATCTTAGGCACAAAGCAATAGAGACAACTGACCATGAACTGAAACCTCTGAAACTCTGAGTCAAAATACTCTTTCTCTTTTAAGTTGTTTATGTCAGGTATTTTGGTACAGAGACAGAAGCTGATTGTCAAAACAATATGGGCAACTTAAATTTTTTTGGTATGGGGAATTGAATCCAGAGATGCTTTTCCACTGAACTACATCCCTACCTCATTTTTATTTTTTTTAGACAGGGTCTTGCTAAGTTGTGAGGATGACCTTGAACTTGTACTCTCTTGCCTCAGCCTCCCAAGTCACTAGAATTACAGGTGTGTGCCACCATACTTGGCTATAACTTAAATTTTCTAGTAGTTACACTTTAAAGAGCAAAATGAAACAGGTGTAATAGTTTAAACTCAATATACCTTTTCAATGTACAGAAACATGAAAAAATGAGCTATTTTATAATTTTTTGTACTAAGTCTTTTAAATTAGCTGTGTATATTATGCTTATAGCACCTCTCAATTTGGACTAATCACCTTTCATGTGTTCAAAAGCCAAATGTGGCTACCATACTGGACAGTGCAGATCTAGAGATAAAATTAAGAAAGAATATTGTACTAGACTTGTTTTCTATTTAAAAAGTATAAAGTTCTTTAAATGCTAGCAAAAGAAAGATGAATCCAACATTCTTTTTTTTCTTTTAAAGGTACAACCTTTAATATACTTGGGAAAGGAAGCTCTGGTTTTGTCCCATCTGTTCAGTCTGAAGATTCTGGTCATCAGCAGTTACCTACTATTGGACCCAGACTATTATTATTAAATCTCCTTTATACTTTAACCTTCTTAAGTTTGGTTTACATATGGTAGTCCTACAGCACATAAAAATCAGTATTAAATATCATACATAAAATCTTACAAATGTATTCACCTTCAACTGTGAAAAGATGCATTAATTGAATACCAAAGCATAAACAAGTGAAACCTGTATAATTTTTCATTATATTGTCACCAAGTATTTTCTGCTATTTTCATTATACAGCTTTCTGTAAAAGATGAAATGAAAGGAAATAACAGTCATGTGCTACATAATGTTTCTGTCAATGATGAATAACAAATGATTCAACATGGTTATATCACCTAGTGATGTTGTAACCATCTTAGTTTAAGTAGACCCTATGGATGGTCACACAGTGACAAAATTGCCTAATTATGTATTTTCTCAGAACCGTCCTCATTGCTAAGTTATTATACTTTAATGACTAGAATGCTTCTCATCCTGCCCACAGAAGAAAATGCAGCTCAGAAAGATAAAGAGCAGCTCAGTTTTGTTATCAAGTCTAAGTGGTTACTTTGTTGATTAGAGAGTTCATTAAAAAAGAAGAAAGGAAAGAACAGGCTAAGACAGCCAGTTAGCTCTGTGATTATACACAATCACAAGTAATAAGAACAAATCTTCACAGCATAGATAACAAAAATACTGAAAATAGAACCATACTAGATTTTAAGTATAAAAATATCCTAACGCCAGATATAAACTTTTAAGTATGTATAGTATAGCTTCTTACCTTGATTGATAAAAATGGTCTAGTGACTGTCAAATCATATTGTCTTTATTATTTTGAACATAATGTAATATATTCTATTTAGCAGAATAATCACACATATCACAAAATATTTACATAAAATAAAATAATTCAAGCTATGATTCCTACACTTCATAAGAGAATGCTTTAAATATGAGTAATTATGCATTTAAAACATGATTTAATTTACAGAATTTCAATTTATATATAAATTTTCAGGAATGTGTTTATTTTATAAATTATCAATTAAAATTTTATAAATATGGTATTTAAAATTTTTTATCTTTTTTACCTGCTTAATTGTGTTCACATGCTGCTTCTCTGTTTCTGTTCTTTTTTTTAACTCTTCTCTTAAATTGTCTTTTTCTGAACAAATGTCTAAGATGAGCTCCTGATGCTTCTTATTTTCTTTAATTAACCTAAATATAAAAGGGTAGTATAGATAAAACATAATTAAAAATGGATACATAATGAAATGTGGGGTGTTTGCAGATTAGGGTGTAGATATCTATGATTATATTGGGTTAACATTCCAAAGTAATCTTTTATCATAAAGTATCATGTTTACACAAGGATAAAATTCCTTAATGATACATTTCTCAGAACTGTCTTTTTTTTTTTTTTTTTTCAATGCTGGGGATTGAACCCAGGGCATCATGCCTGCCAAGCAAGCACTCTACCATTGAGCCACATCCCCAGCCCTTTTAAGGCTCAAATGCTTCTAATCCTGTCCACATAAGAAAAAGCAGCTCAGAAAAATAAAGATCAACTCAGCTTTGTTATCAAATATTCACACTGTTGATCTATGCATCAGATATTCTGCAAAACATTCTTTTAGCCAATCAGGTGGTTAATTTTTTCCTAGATATTTCAAATCAAGTGACATATAATCAAAAAAAGAAGATCATGTCCTATTATAAACAGGCCTTTGGCCATCTCAACTATGAACAACTTTCTTTCAGCCTAGGAACCCCTGGGATAAGTGGTTTGTAATCAAGAGCAATTTTATCCCTTCAAGCATCTGGAGACATTCTGGATTGTCACAATAAGGGCAGGGGTTGCTACTGGTGGTTGAATGGGTGGAAGTCAGAAAGGCTGCTAAGCACTCTAAAATTCAAAAGACACCTGTACCTTTAACAAAGAATTATCTGGGCCAAAATGGCAATAGGGCTGAGATTGAGGTATCTTGCTTTACATTTTAGAAATATTTTAATGATATACTAATAGTTATATAAGTGTAGTCAATGTAAAACAAAGTTTAAGCAGAAATTTCATCTTAAGTCCCCCTACAAAGACAGAAATAAAATCTTAAAAATTGCCCACAAAGGAATCTGAACTATAGGATACCTAAGAAAGTAAACAACTATTATTATAGGATTGTTAATGTTACTAACTATAAGTTTACTGCACACTATTTGCTAAGTTAAAATTTAAAAAAAAGAAAAAATATATTATTTTCTGAGGGATGGTGGCATACTCTTGTAATCCCAGCTATTTAGGAGGCTGAGGCAGAAGGCTCTCAAGTTTGAGGCCAGCATGGGCAACTTAATGAGTCCCTGTTTCAAAATAAAAATAAAAAGGGCTGGGGATATATCATAGTGATAGAGCACCCCTAGGTTCAATCCCTAGAAGAGTGGGATAAAAAAGTTATTATCTCATTTAATATTAAAAATAAAACTGTAAAATTATCATCACTTCTGTTTTATGAAGTTAAAATAAGACACAATGGAAACCCAGGACTTATTCCAGGTTGTATAGCTAGTAAGTGGCTGAACTGAGTTTTAAATACCGGTCTCATTGCAAAGCCCAGGCCTTTCTACCTACTACTCTGAAGATCACTCATTTACTTAACTGATGCTTACTGGGTACCTACTATGTTTCTTACCCTATCATCAAGGGAGAAAATACAAATAGACATATTTTTAAAAGAGATAAGTTTTTATAACAAAATTTCAGATAGTGATTTAGTCCTATTAAGAAACATTAACTAAAGCAAGAGGACAGAAAGGACTTGAGCTGTGATAAGGCTGACCTTTCTGAGAAGAAACAGTTGAGCGCAGGAATGCAGTGAGGAAGCAAGCATGCAACTGTTTTGGAAAGAGGCAAATGCAGCATGTAGGTTTATTCAAGCCTTTGATGGCACAGTAGTTTAACTTGGATTACATAACACACACACACACACACACACACTCATTTGTTACAAAAACCTACTTGAGAGACAATTCTAAATATACTTCACAAGTAAACAGAGGAGGAGTTGGGGAGTGAAGAACCACAAACATTATAATTCTCCTCCTTCTCCTTTTGTGGTATTGAAGATGGTACGTGCTTGGCAAAGGCTTTACCACTGAGCTACAAAGCCGTTCCAAATTGTTATTCTTATTTGCCAAGTACTCATACAAATAGATAACTGTTCTTAATTAATTAAGAATTTTGTTGGGACCTTGGACAACAACAATGATACATTAGAAAACAGAAGAATAGGGCTGGGGATGTGGCTCAAGCGGTAGCGCGCTTGCCTGGCATGCGTGCGGCCCCGGTTCGATCCTTAGCACCACATACAAACAAAGATGTTGTGTCCACCGAAAACTAAAAAATAAATATTAAAATTCTCTCTCTCTCTCTCTCTCTCTCTCTCTCTTAAAAATAATATCTTTAAAAAAAAAAAAGAAAACAGAAGAATAAAAAATAGTGAAACGATGGTTGCCGGAGGTCAGGAGGTAGAGGAAATGGGGAGATGTTAGTCAAACGTTACATACTTTGGGTTATAAGATGAATAAGTTCTGGGGATCTAATGTACACCAGAGGAACAATAATTAACAATACCATATAATATACTTGAAATTTGCTAAGAATAGATCTTAAGGGTCCACACCACATACACATACCCCCAAAAGTATATTTGTAAGGTGATGGATATGTTATCTAACTTCATTATAGAAATCAGTTAACAATGCATATCAAATCATCATGTGGTACACCTTAAATATATACAATTTTGTCAATTACACTTCAATAAAGCTAGGGAGAAAAGGAAAACAGGAATGGATATATAAACAAAGACATCTGAAAACACATGCATTTATGAACATTTCAATCAAAGGAAATGAAAAGTAGTTTTCTTCATGAAAAATTAAAATGAAGGCAAAAGAAAAGAAATTTTAGTTGTTTAAGAGCTGACCTGAATGAACAAAGCTTTTACTTGGAATTAAAAATATTATGTTTATGATCAACCTCACTTTAAAGTAACATATGACATTTGTACAATGCCTAATGCCCACAAAAGTCCCATCTGGTAAGTACCCCTCATAGAGATGAAAAATATTTGACTCAAAAGAGGTTTATATAGTTAAGGTAACACTTGCAAACAGCAATGGGAATCTTCCAACTCCAGGTTTCTGATCAGAATTGTGCTTACCCCACTGCTCTGACAGGATGAAGCAAAAAAGAAGACTCAACTTTTTACTTTTTATTTTTAGATAAGTTCAACAATTTGTAATTAGTTAATTTCTATAACCACATTTATAAAACCTCTGCAGCCAAACTAACAAGGCTTAGATTATAACCTTACGTTGATTGCATGTGACCCTGAACAAGTTACTTACTGTTTCAGGTACCTCATCTGTAAAATTGGGATAATAACAGTATATACTAGAGTTGTTAGGAAGATCCCATGAGTTTATGTGTGTGTGTGTGTGTGTGTGTATACACACATATATAGTGCACATTATTAAGAGCATTTTTTTTGTAATTATCATTAAATGCACATGTCTTACAATTTATAAGAGATGTACAAAAGTAATGAGTCCACATCTAAGAAAAGTGAAAAGAAGCAAAAATGGAAAGGTCTAAAAGATAGGTGCAGAGAGCAAAGTAATGAGGAAGTTACCCTGAAAAAAATTAAAAGTGGCAGAAGCTCCAATGATTCAAATACATAGAGAATACAGTTTATTCACAAAATAGCACTATTAAGGATATAAATAGGAGTAATGCAATAGTTGTAAGGTAGCACTAAGAACAGTGTTAGAATCTTGAAGATATTTGTAAGCTCAAAGAAACTATTCACAACAGTCAAAATGGAGAAGGAACTCAAATGTCCATGAAAGAATAAACAAAATATGATATACACATAGAATGGAAAATATTCAGCCTTAAAAAGTATGGAAATTCTGACACACTCTATAATATGGATAAACCTTGAGGACCTTATATGAAGTGAAATAAGCTAATCACAAAGAGACAATACTGAATGATTTTACTTACATGAAGTATTAAGAGTAATCATACTCATAAAAAGAGAAAGTAGAATGGTGGCTTCCAACAGGGACTGGGGAGAGGTGGCAATAGGGATTTGCTATTTAATGAATATAGAGTTTCAGATTTGCAAGATAAAAAATTCTACAGGTTGGTTGTACAAAGATGGTAAGTTTTATGTTTTGTGCATTTTATCACAAATGAACTCAAAAATAGAAAAATACAAAAGGGACAAGCCTAGATAATAAGAGACTAAAGCTCATTGGGTAAACCAATGAAGGATTAGTGATTTGGGCAAGACTGATCCACTGAATAGGATATTCTGAAAGACTGAAAACCAGAAGGAGGAGATCATGAAAAGGCAAACTGATATCAAATAACATTTGAATTATGGTATATTTTCTTCTGTTATCCTCCTCTGTCAAGTAGATTACTTCTCTTTCTCTATACACACATTCTCTTGATTAAAAAAAAACAAAAAAAAAAACTTTGAGAATCCTATTTAAAAGAAATCACTATATATTTTAGTGAAGGCTAATATACTTTATTTAACTTTCTTATATGTTACAAAAGAGTACCTAAAATAATGCATCACTTAGCTATATAAATCAAGAATAAAAATAAAGGTAATACAATATATTAGGAAAACTAAATGAAATCATTATTAAAATTTTATGTTCTTGGATGGGCACGGTGGGGCATGCCTATAATCCCAGTGGCTGGGGAGGTGGAGGAAGGAGTATCATGAGTTCAAAGCCAGCCTCAACAAAAGCAAGGCACTAAACAACTCAGTGAGACCCTGTCTCTAAATAAATTACAAAATAGGGCTGGGGATGTCACTTAGTGGTTGAGTGCCCCAGAGTTTAATACCTGGTACCCACTCCCATGAAAAAAGTTTATGTTCTTATTTATTGAAGGAAAATCAACTAATTCTATGTCCTTTAGATTTTAATTTTCAAACTAATGTATTTACATTGGAGATTTTTTTAAAAATGTTGAATTTTATGACTTTTAATTTCCTTTTAAATTTTTCTTATTTTTAACATATTTCTACATTCTTTCAACAATGAAAAACTTAGGTGGGGAAATATAGCTGAGTTGTAGAGTGCTTGCAAGTATTAGCACCCTACTGAAGGCCCCAAGTTCAATACCTAACCCAGCAAAAAAATTTTTTTAAAAGTTTTGTCTTTATAAAAAATTCAGTTTTTCAATGAACTTACACTATTTACTATAATATTTAGTACTTTAGAGTATTAAATAATTAGAAAAACTTGGAACTCAGTAAATACACCTTTATCATGGCTTTACTATGAAATTATTAGTAAACAAGATGATAACTTAAAGAAATTATATCTGTAGTCCTAGAGAAAAAAATTACTTAAAGGAATTTTAAAACTTACTTTTTTATAGTATGTTCCTGCTGCAAATATTTATCTTGCACACACTTTTCAAACAGAACTAATGCATGTTCTCCTTTATTCATGCCATTTGGTACTTGGTGTTCTTCTGCAAACTCTGTAGACAACAGCTCAGATTCTATTTCTTCCAACAAATCCTCTGATGCTGAAACATTTTTTATTTTTGAAATAAGTTTCTTGGTGCAGTCTGTATCATAGAGACTTTCTGAGTAAGTCTTTTGATGAGCTGCTTCTGTAAATGTAGGTGACCTTAATTCTGCCAGTATTTGTGTTACTGTCTGTTCTGTTTCACTTGTTTTAGACACTTGCTTTGCAAAATCTCCACTAGGTAAGTTAGTTATTTGTTCGGAATCTTCTGGGCATATGTCTTTTTTGGCAGAAGAATCCTCACATCCATCATTATTTGGGACATAATTTTTGTGTGCTTCAACATGACTATTGTGTTCATTAGGCAGACATAAAATTTTGTCACAATTTAATGACAATAGTTTGGATTCATTTTCTAATCTGCTGCTTTCATCACCAGAAAATGAGCTGCATGAATCTTCCTTTAATTCAGATATTTTCCCAATATTTTTATCAGAGGAAATGAAGGCTTCATTCTCCGTCTCTGACATGTTGACAAGCACCAATTCACTTTGCATTTCTTCAAATTTGCTTCTGATCTTTGTTTTATATCTAAGAAATTAAAACATCAAAATTTAAAAAAAAAAGAATTTAAACCAAGACCTCATATCTCTTTGCTCACACTCCATGATATGCAATAACCAAAGACCATAGATTTTTCCCAAAAATAATTTCTTTAATAAAAATCTCTCTTGGAGAAAAAAGAATAGTATAACCAATCCAAATTATCTACAATCAGCAGAGCTACTGCAAAGTCTCATTGTCTTTCCTCCTTCCATTTAGTCACCTAACATCCCTAATTACTTTGCTGCTGTTTAGCATTTTCCAATCATTCCCGGAAGATGTTAGGTAGGGAATAATACTTATAAATGGAGAATTAGTGCCAAAGATGTTTACACTTCTTTCAGCTCTGAGGGGAAGAGACTACAAGATCTATAAGAAAATACTGGAGAGGGAAGACAACAATGAAAACACTAGAAATCACAAACCAAGATAATAATATAATGCATATTAATAATGTTAAAAAAATTTACTGAGAGTGGCTCAGGAGGCTGAGGCAGGAGGATCACGAGTTCAAAGCCAGCCTCAGCAAAAGCGAGGCACTAAGCATCTCAGTGAGATCCTGTCTCTAAATAAAGTACAAAACAGGGCTGGATATGTGGCTCTGTGTCCAGTGCCCCTGAGTTCAATCCCGGTTACTCCCGCTCCCCCTCCAAAAATTTACCTAGAAGGAAACCAAATAATAACAAGTCACGGTGACCTATAGCCTATAGACCTAGCTCTGAAAATAAAGGATTCCCTGATAGAAATTAATTTTTTACTGAGGCAGTGATCCATGAAGTACCATGATGATTTTTAAACATTTTCATCAAAAATAAAACAATTTTCAAACAAACCAAGTGGAGCCCACATGCACTACCTAGGTGAATAGAAGCAATATTTAAAACTTAATTTGACATGGTTGGAATACGTTTTGCTATTATTTAAAAAGATTACTATCCTGGCTACTTTATAAAAATCCCTCAGCTTCAAAGATTGCCTTAGATGGATAAATATAAAATCTCTCAGTGATCTTATTGAAAATTGTCAACTTCTTTTGTCAGGTATCAAGAAAGCATATATAGAGCAGATGAGCTACCAAATCGTTAGATTAAAAAGTAGGCAGGTGATGTTCTCACAGAGATGAGTGCTATACTCATCTGAAAACAGATGAAAACAAAATAAAGGTCAATTTTTTAAATAACAAAATGAGGTATAATGGAGGGGGTGCACAGAGGATGACTAAATAGGATAAGAGAAGACTAGTAAGATAGAATCCTCAGAAAACTAAGCAGGAGTGAATTTTGTTAATAAAGACAAATCTGGAGCCAGGCATGGTGGCACACACCTATAATCCTGGCCCATCGGGAGGCTGAGGCAGAAGGATAGCAATTCAAGGCCAGGCTCAGCAACTCAGCAAGACTCTGTCTCAAAATTAAAAATAAAATAAAATAAGAAAGAACTGGGGATATAGCATAGCACCCCTAGGTCAATCCCTAGTAGAGAGGGGAGGGGGAAAAGGAGAAATTGTAATAAATCACAAGACTTATTTACAAGACTCCTATAGGTTCAAGTATTTGTTGAATTAAAGTCTATAAGCACAAAAATGATATTCTAAAACTAGTAAGACTAGTATTTGGTGAACCTCATTTTAGGAATACATAAAATTGGAGGAACAATTAAAAGGAAAGAGAAGATCATCAGCTTCTTTTGTTAAATAAATGTTGCCTTTTTGTTTACACTTTAGCAACTAATATAGCCATTGACTTTGGCACTCTAAGCTATCTATCTGTATAATATTTACTTTCAAACAACCAAACAGAAATCATCATTATCTTGCTGTATATATTAGATAACAAGCCAAAGCCCACACTGATGTCAAACACTTGGTTTAGAAAATGCAAATAGTGTAGTAAGTAAATGAAAAGCCTCATTAAGTATTTTATATTCCAAAATCTAGAACAAAGTGAAATTATTTTCCAACAGGGGCACTGGCCACTTATATTACCTCACTCAAGGTAACTCACTTTAAGAATAACTTATGAATGTGTTACTGTTTAATTTAAAATCTTAACAATTTAGAAGTCAATCTAAAAGTGAACTTTTTAAAGTATCATGAATCTAACAGAAATTGAATCCAAAGCCGACTAAGACATAATATAAGTAGCAGATAAAAAATGCTATGCTCCTCAGCATTCAGCAAGTGAGAAGCAATTTATCAACAACTTTATGGCTCTCCTCCATGTGCCCTGATTTGTCAACAGAAAAACACTAAACAAAAATTGGTTTATTATCCTTTTACCAGCTTTTGTAGTTTTCAAGAATTTAGTCTCCAAGTCTTCTCCTCTGCTAGAATTCATTTACTTAGATAACTTGAAGCCACAACTCATAGCTGATGCCTACATAATTTTTCAATCCTGTACTTGAGTTACAGATATCATATTATCTATCAACTCTTCCTCACTGCCTCTGTCTCTTTATTTAATACTCTACCTGAATATAGGCATTTCCACTGGAAGTTTCTCTACCACCTCAAACTCAAAATGACCAAATTCAAAATCATAATTATAGTTTCTATAATTGAGTACCCTCTGCTAATCTTTTCTGTCAATGATATTATTTTTACTAGTCATCTGACTTCTTCCTCTCCTTTGCCCTCATATTCTTTTTGACAATTTTAGGTCTCCTATATTTCGATTGTCGTTGTCCCCTACCTGCAACCCAGCTAGGCCTCTGATTACTCTGGAACACTTAACTGTTGGTTTCTCAAACTTACTCCATTCTCCCCTCCAGCTCCTCTTCCTAAAACTCCCAAATGAAGGAGCAAGGTTAACAGAAGGGCAAGGTGCTTGAGACAACCCGGGGATGGCACAGGATCAAGGCAAGAGACAGGTCATCCAATCCCAGAGAAAGGGCTGAAGTGTAGTACACTGGCTTGGAAAACAGGAATAGGAGCCACTCTCTGAAGTGGGTCTTAGTGGCAAAAGGGGCCAGGGATCTGCAACACTGTCCCTACAACATCCACATGCATCACCTCCTCAGATACCTCGGTCCAATGCAGCCAGATGGACCACAGTGCATCCAGGGCTACCTCTTCTCTCTTCGGAGGTTCAGGTAATGAAAACTGCCTCTACTGGCTGGTTTCTTCACCCAACTCCAAAGGTGCTAAGGTAAAGAAAGAAGAGGAAGTCTGTCTTGGAGTCAGATTATACCTCTTCTTCTTCTTCAATCACAGCACCTGGGAACTAAACAGCTTCAACTTTTCTTCAGGGAGAATAAGTTTGTGATTTCATTTTAATGTTGTAGTTGTTTTTTAAATGACTGGGGTCTGTCTTAATTTTTGGAATAACCAAAATTGACAATAATGTCAGACCAAGACCTTACTAAAGGACTGCCCTTCAGAGGAAAGTTGCAGGGCTGAGTGTTTTACACAGTATAAATAGGGACCCGTTTAAAAAAAAAAAAAAGAGCTGAGGAGACAGCTCAGTGATAGGGTGTTTGCTAGTATGTGTGATCATGGCCTTGAATCCGAGTCCCAACACTGTAAAATAAACAAACTTTTTAATATTTATTCCCATAGTTGAGATTCCACACTAAACCAGTAACATTACTTTTCCAATCTTCTCTCTCAACATATTCCTAAAATAAATGCTTCACTATACTAAGTCTCACCAGTCTACTAGGATTCCCACAACACACACATTAACATTTCCATGGTTTTGTTCTCATCCATATTGTTCTTTCCTTCAGTCTATCTAGAGACTAAAAATATGTTTAAAGGACTGATTCTAATATTAAATCTTCCTCCAAATTTTCCCTCATCACAAGTACAAAATAATTTCTATGTAAAGTAAAACACACTGCATTTATGCTCATTAAGCAGTTCAAGCCTTTCTTTCTTATGATATTTTTGAGCAGGCATCCTTCCACCTTTTAAATGAGCTTTGTTTCTGCAAGAAGGAACCTCATTCTGAACTCAAGTCAAAGTTCTTAAGTCTCAAGCAGTATAATAATAAATAGGTAAATCTATTTTCTACGTTAATTGCTCATTTTTGCAAATGCTGTGTAGCAAGTTCTCAACAATGGTGGAACCCACTGGGTTTACACAATGATCTGGCATCCACACATCATTTAGTGGGTGGGTAACAAGCTGTAAGACAGCGCAGAACAACAAAAATTTTCCTTACATCCTGCTGCATATTCATCTAGGAGGCAAAATAATCAACGGTTTTTATAATTTCCTAAGCTTAGGATCAGTTTTACATATTGTATAAATTAAGGAAGACTAAATTTAATCTCAAAAAACAGTATTTTCTATACATTCTCCCAGTAATATGCCTATAGCCTCTGAAAAAGTCATCATGTAAGCTGACATCTGGTAATCACTTAGAACTTGCAAACTTAGTGTTCTAATGATCAAATAATTATTGACTGAATAACAAAGAAAAAAGAGAGGATTAAAGGAAAGGAGAGGGTTAATCAAGATCTTTGTGATCTACTACCAAAGCCATTACCAAAGATTAAATAACTGCACAAGAATGGTAATAGACAAAAACAAACAAAAAATGTAATAACCTTTGATTTTCTCCACAATCAACTATGGGAAAAAACTAGTCAGCTGAGTCCTCCCACAGGCCTTTCCAGTTGGCAATACTGATGCAGACCAATTTGGATGCTCTTCAAGTTTTTGTTTTGGGAGGGGAGTTATCACCAAAGCTACTAAGGATAGAATAGCCTAGTACTAGATTAAATGGGGAGGATACAAAACTAGATATTGACAAGATTATTTTAATTTAAGAAGAATCTGTACAAATCAAATTCACATTCTTAAATAAATGCAGTAATTACAATTATAGATTACAATATAGGTTGCTTTTTCAATGTTAAAAGTAATACAAGATATTTCAACTCTTTATTAACTTTCACTTATTAGGGGAAATACCATATTTAAAACATTATAGTAACAAAACTCCTCTTAATTCAAACATTTATTTTTCCCAGAGTTGTTTGTGTTTCTGACACAGTACTACAGGACCAATTCACACTTCAAAACTGTTTCAGTAGGTGAGAACTGGTTTCGCTCTTGCTGGAGCTCATCAGCTGTAGGCAACTGGTCAAGAAGCAGTTTTTACGTGCCTTAAAGCAAAGCATGATCTACCTTGAATTTTATTTCTTTATGAAGGAATGAGTGTTTAAAAATTATTTACAAAGTTATATAAATAAAAACACTTTTAACAGTTTTGGGTTCTCTTTCCTGTTTTTTCCACTAATTAGTATTATAAACAATAAAAACTTAAGCTTACTCAAGAAACTGCAAATACAAATTCATCCAATCTATAGATGTTTGGTTAACAGGTTATCAAATAAATGTGCCTCATACAAAGGTACCAAGTTGAAAATAATTTCCAGAGTAGATATTTAATCCATTTGTTAAAAACATATTGAGAATCTACATGTTCTAGGTGTTGGGAACACTATAGGGAATAAAACAGACATTCCTCATCCCTCAAGGTGCATGCCTGAGGTGAGATGTAGTGGACCAATACATAAAGACTATGCTGTCTTTTATTCTTGTGTTTTGTTGCTAAAAAACACAAAAGCATTACAGACCATACAGCTTTTAACATTACAACATTTTAATGTCTGCCAGTGTTCCATCAGAATATACACATATATATAAATTCATAGCTATTTTAAATCCAGAAGAACCTTGGTTCAACCTAAATACTTTATAACAAACTACAAACTTTGAAAGTATAAATTGTACCATTCAAGCCCCAAATAATATCATTAAATAATATACATTAAGATAAGCAAACTGAGCCTTGAGATAACTCCTTTCAACATAAGCTTTACTGTTCTTTATAGTAAAAGTTTAAGTATAGCAAGAGGGTTTTGGTTTCTTTCTTTCTTTCTTTTAACATATTCCCCCCAAATACATTTGAAAGAAGTATAAACAAAACTTACCTTTCTATCAGTTTTAGCAAGATTCTGAAATGGCAATTAAATTCAGAAGCAAAAATCAATGAAAAAGCATTCACATAGTTCAATATCATCTGCTCACACCATCAAACAATTGATTTTCACATATATTAACTTGAAAAGACATACTTTCCTGGATAAAGTTTTTAAAAATAACAGTAAAAAAGTGAACATAAGAAACATGAATACCTTGTTTTCCAGAATGAAACTGTCTAATGCTTATGTTTTATTTAAGATGAATTTACACAGATCCAATTCTGCTCTTAAAACATAAAAACTGAGTTGCTGTTCCAAAGAACTCTAGATGCGTTATGCAAAAAGGAAGAAAAAAATTTTTTTTCTGTACTGGGCATTGAGTCCTCTGCCTCATAGTACATGCTAGGTATGCACTCTACCACTGAGCTATGCCCCCAGACCTTTTATTTTTTATTTTGAGACAGGGTCTCACTAAGTTGCCCAGGCTAGTATTGAACTCGCAATCCTCTTACCTCAGCCTCCCAAGTCATAGGGATTACAGGAATGCACTACCACACACAACCAGAAAGATACAGTTTTTAAAGCGGAATAATTAAGATCTTAATTAAGCTTTTGGGTAAAATTGAATACATTGGGTTTTCTTAAAAATAAACACAGTTGTAAAATTTAAAAGTTTCTTTTAGCTCACCAGTTTAAAAATTTGTATTATGAAGCCAAAGTCATTTATTGCCATGGAGGTCTTTCAGCTTTGTACCCAAGACTTGGGGCAGGGTGAATTTTTATGCTATATGAGTTATTATCACCTGCATGTTCATGTACAAACACACACACAAAGATGTTTTTAAAAGGGATTAAGACACCCCAAATAGTACCAAATCCTATGACAAGATAACAAGAGAAAGAAAAATTATGACCCATCATGATTCCAGAAAAAAAGGGTCAGTGACCACATCATATATCACAGAAGTTATATAGGTTAAATTATCAGTTTGGTATATTAGAGTCATGCAATTTTAGATACCTCTAATAATTTTTTTAAAATATTAAAACAGAAAGTTTATTAATACAGAAATCTTAATTTGCAGCTATTTGTATTGACATCACTACTTGCACTTTAATTAGTTTAAGAAAATATGAAAAGTTTTTTCAATTAATTTCTCTTCCAAATCCAAAAACTAAAAGGACAAAAGGGAAAGCTAATAGTTAAAAAAATAATAACTGCAAGTTGTAAGTCTGCTTTATGTTAAAGAGTTTGGGCTAATATTTAAATTTTGAATCCACCTTTGGTCTAGATTTGGTTAATTTGGTATGGTATAGTTTATAAAACTAATATTCATTTGCGCTTAGTACATAATCCCACAGTAGACGATGAGCTCATGTGTGTTTTAATAACAGAAAAATGTTAATAAATAGATCCATTCAATACTGTGCTGGACCTAATTACCCCCAATGTTTCTCTTTATTTACTAACCAAAATAAAAATTTTAAACCTCAGTAGCTAATAAAATTCAAAGGATTATTTGAAACAATTTAAGATTAAAGGATCAATTGTTTATGATCCCACTGCTGCCTCTAAAATGATTAGTAAGTATAACATTCACAACATTGTAAACCCAGTAACATGTTTATAAGAAATTCAAGAACTGGTTCTAGTATTTAAAAGTAGAGATAAGAAACAAATGAGAAACCTAAGTTTTACTAAAAGAAAAAAAAAAACTTCAGGTTAAGGATTCTTACTTTAATTGACACTGTTTGAGGGCTTGGGAAACTAGGGAAGATTTATTAATAGTACTTTGAAGGAAAAGATGGTTTTCTAAATCTCTAAATAAGGCTGCTTTCATGCTACAACCTATCATCCCCTCCCTAAAAAGTTGAGTATACTGCACTGTTTTGAAATGTTAGTGTGTAACTATAAACATGTTTTAAAAATGAATATACTAGACAATTATCATTAGCTATATTGTTACTGTATAGTATCAAAAGACAACTCTTTGGTTTATGGATCAGGGAACTAAAAGGTTAGAGTGGTGACTGTATTGCACATTAGACACTCCTCTCAGCAAAAAATAAGACTCTAAAATGTCAATTACTTTCTATGGAATCCCTATCATTTAAAGAAACTTTAATTAAGTTTATACACAACTACTTTGAATTAGATAAGGCCC